AAAAAAGATGCATTAAGCCTGATCACTCATTCAGTCAAAAAAAGATGCATTAAGCCTGATCACTCATTCAGTCAAAAAAAGATGCATTAAGCCTGATCACTCATTCAGTCAAAAAAAGATGCATTAAGCCTGATCACTCATTCAGTCAAAAAAAGATGCATTAAGCCTGATCACTCATTCAGTCAAAAAAAGATGCATTAAGCCTGATCACTCATTCAGTCAAAAAAAGATGCATTAAGCCTGATCACTCATTCAGTCAAAAAAAGATGCATTAAGCCTGATCACTCATTCAGTCAAAAAAAGATGCATTAAGCCTGATCACTCATTCAGTCAAAAAAAGATGCATTAAGCCTGATCACTCATTCAGTCAAAAAAAGATGCATTAAGCCTGATCACTCATTCAGTCAAAAAAAGATGCATTAAGCCTGATCACTCATTCAGTCAAAAAAAGATGCATTAAGCCTGATCACTCATTCAGTCAAAAAAAGATGCATTAAGCCTGATCACTCATTCAGTCAAAAAAAGATGCATTAAGCCTGGCCACTCATTCAGTCAAAATTCACATAAAGCATCAAAATGACATTACTAATAAACTGAGGCGAAAGCGGATACGTAAACGCATGCAGACCATAATACAGTCAAAGGAATGGAGTGGAAAAGATATGGTTGGTTATTTAACTAAATAATGTATACGAAAAAAATTACGCACGTCTGATTGCCTGAAAACGAGTGCATTTTTCATGTAACATGAGTGAAAATTAGAAATAGAAAGCGCACGCCTCAAAATTTCGCTGTCTTGACTTTCGGTGATGCTTTTTTCAAGTAAATTATTAACAAGTACCGACATGATTTCTCGTATAATTTGGTGTGAATGAGCACTAGTAAATGTTTAAAAGGCTACAAATTGCACCCGCCCTACGGTGAAAAATTTACTTGTGCTTATCAACACCAAATTGCACTCAACTCTATTACCTGTACTAATAGCGTTGAGTGGCCTTTCGTGCAAGGAGTCACAATGATAAGTCAACTACTTACTAAGGAAGTCAATAAGGCTTTATTAATTTTTTTTATTTCTTTTACACAAACCTCATCAGCTATGACAGTCAGTTTTTCCATGACATTACAGTCTTTACTGTAAAAGCAACATACAGCAATTATTTGATTGAGAGACTTGAAAAGCTCAAATTTAGCAGAAATGATGAAGCATGCAGCAATCACACAAAGTGCAACAATACTGTGGCTTTTTTGGTATTTTCCTGGAATCTATAATGATGGATTGCTAAAAGTTACAGCGAGAGACTGAAAAAAATCTTGGCAACAACAACAACAACAACAACTACAACGTTGTTGTACCTTATATCAAATTTTAGCAATCTCTAATAACTAAATAAGGATAATTAAAAACTAATAGGGTAATTGTGAGGTTACAAGGACCCAGGAAAAACTAAGCAGCTAAAATTGACAGGGCTCAGGATGTAGGTTAAGTAAACGAAATGTTCATTTTGGAAGTAAAGTATGGCCAACATACACAAGAACTACACACTGGATAGCCACTCTTAAGAGACAAACGAGTAAACATACATTTATCACTATCATCGCGACGAACAAACACATATTTTACAACGGAACTCTCTGCCTGATCTAACCTCTTGTTGTATCGTGCCATGTCCCATGCTTTATATATTATGGCATATTGTATTGGCAAAAATTGGTTTAAGTACGTCACTGCTCTTTCCAATTCTTCGCTGAGAATCTGTTCGTGTCTCTTCCTTTCCCTCTTCTATAAAATGATAAAGTATACATAGGTTAGAGGCGAATCCAGAAATTTTTGATTGGAGGGGTCCAAACTTTGGTTCAGAAAGGACTGTTGGACTCTTTTGAGGCAAATTAGTTCTCCTCCACACCCCCCACATCCCCTCCCACCAGTCGCCGTTGCACGTTATAATTCCTTGGCCGTTTACCGTTTACTTGGATTCATTAAAAAAATCAGCCAGTTAAAAAGCGATATACGATCCTGTCTCAAAGTTGTAAGCGTCAGGTCTGATAGGGGGGGGGTCTGGACCCCCCGGACCCTCCCCCTGGATCCGCCACTGTAGGTTATGTCTTGAAAAGAGACCTTTCACAGTTCGTGAACGAGAGAAAAAAAACGGAAGCTTTTAACTGAATTGCTGATATTTTTTGGAAAACCGAAGGCTAACAAAATCAGGTAAGGTAGCATTCTTAACATACAGGTATTCTGCGGACGTTCCGAAATTAAGAAGTACAAAATACCTAACCTACCTTAACAAGATTAAGAATGACCACAGGAGAACCAAACCGTTTAAGAAGTTGGTTGAAATGTTGCCCAGCAGCCGAGCAGAATGGATCTGCTCGATCAACTTAAAAAAAAAAAAAGTTCTTATGATGTTGGTTCAGAGAATTTGGTGATGGATCGACTAATAATCTCCTAACTATTTTTTTTCCCTCCATTCTTGTCACTTGTCTGCTCGACATTGTATAATTTGATATTGTCAGGAGAAATTCTGTCTTGATCACCCATGTCAGGAGAAATTCTGTCTTGATCACCCATGTCAGGAGAAATTCTGTCTTGATCACCCGTGTCAGGAGAAATTCTGTCTTGATCACCCATGAGAGTTAGAGCGCAAGCAAGTGCTCAAACTTCACAATTTCTAATTGGTTTTCTTTCACAGACCATTTTTTTTTAAACACAAATGAACATTATTTTTTCCCCAACAAACTGAAAGTAGCATTATGATAATTTTTGAACATGCAACCTCTAAAAAAACAAACTTCAACTTTGGAATCATGCTTTGCTACTCCAAATAAAAGTCACAAGTCATGGAACAATATCGTTGAGTACTTGCAAAAGACCCAAACTTAACTGCCGTTTTCACCAGAGTCGCTTCAGTTGGTTAGATATTTATTGAGCAAGTATACATTTAAAAATAAAGCTCACGTAATTGATTGTTACCTACCAATAATTTGTGGTTTTGGAACCATTACTTGTCTTACATCCTGAAAAAAAATTATCTTTGAATTTAAGAAAAAGTTTAATGAACATGGTCAATCTTAAATGGCACAGAAAGATCACCTGAATAAGCCCAAAAGCAATAAAGAATAGCATAATGTTGGTACACCAAAATATCTTAATTTACCTGTGACCAGAAAGATGGAACAGATCCTCTGAGCTGAACATAAGATGTAAATCTGCCACTCTTGATTGACAAAACAGAGGCATCATGAACAATTTGCTCTGTTTCAACCTCATTGGCTACATTTCCCTAAAAGAGTAATAATAATAAAATCAACTGTAAATTCTTGCTCAGTAAATAGATGACACAGTTAGGAATTCTTGCTGATCTTGTTAAGTGATTTGAGATCAGGTGAGTATATACAATTTGTTGTACTAACAAAAATCTCAGAAGAAAGATTCATTTGACTTTGGCTCAAAGTGTTCAACTTTCAGCCACTAATAGCAATCTTTTTTTCAATTTAAATTCTTAATGTGCTCATTTTCTTTTCCTCCACATTGTAACAAAACCTCCCAAATATTTCAACATAGATATTTATACTATAAATGAATCATTCTATGTAGCACACACCTGCCTCCTTCCTTAAAAAAGGGCAAAAGCTTCAATATCTAAACTATACTTTAACTCTGTTACATGAAAAAGCAGTCAAAGCTGCTAAAACTTATGTGATACCAGGTGTACTTACAAGGAAAAGTTAAAGGGGTCACCTCACAAGTTTGAAATTTTGAGACCTACATAATGCTTTCTTTAAAGTTGGACACAAATTGCCTAAATTCAGGTGTAATGAGCATAGTGGCCTACTGATGTCTGAGAATATTCCATTTTCTGTAGTATAAAGTGGCTATAAGTATTGCTTATCCTCCCAGACAGGATGTTAGTCCCTTAGAGGTGACCCCCTCGCATTTCATCAGGTTTCCCCACCAGTTTGATGGAGCCCTGAGTGGAGATAGGGAGCGTAAGAGTGACCCCTCTTGCTCAGGAACTAGAAGCAATCACAATGACTCGTGTGCCAACCATGGAACTTTTAAAATAAAGTATAGCAGCCATAAGACCACTGCTTCCCAAACTCCTACCCATTTACAAAACCTTTCTAAAATAGTGAAAAAGTGTAACAGTTATGTATCTCAACAGCTTTTTGTACAAACCTTATCGTTAGCTCCTCTCTTCAAAAACCTGGTTCCAGCAAATTCTTTTGACCTTCGAGCAATCAATGTGACATATATAGGCCGACCATACACACAAATATCTAAATCAAAATAACAAGTTAAGGGTGCATCAACAGATTTTGTAGGTTTTTGCACAAATTTATCATATTTTTCTAACAGCGATACATACATTTTGTTGTTGGGCTGAGGGTAAACAAGACTGAAAACATCAACAAACATTATTTTTGTTTCCTTAGCTTTCCCTTTCCAAATTCAGTTACCTATCATCCCTATTTTTTGGCCTAATATGTGAACAGGACATTATTTCTTTAAATTCTGGACACCTGTTACTTTAAAAGCTATCCTCAACATAAATTTACTACACCTGAGTGAACATGTGTGTTCCTTTTCTTGAACAGTATCTGGGATTCACATGATGACTTTCTGTAGGAAAGCAGGGTTACCACTGTAAAAACTGAATAGCTAACATCAAAATAGTGACCAAGGCTAATCAAAGACTAATGATGTGATCCACAATTCAAAACTGTAAACATGCAGACAAAAACAGTTAATCTGAGCCAAATGTGTTGTTTTGAAAGTCTATTCATGACATCTTACTTTAATTTACATAATTGTAGGTGACATTTTGTGTTTGAATTGTGGATGAAAACCTCACTTGTGCCATTCCTTCCTTCACATGTGGATCAATAATTATCGTCAATATTTAAACATCTGACATTTCTAGCAATCTGTTGAGAATAAATGAAAGGATACCAGCTTGTCCAACAAAGCCATTCACAATGTGCAAAATCCAGTCAGAATGGACAGCTCCTTCAAAGCCTTCCAGCAGATATCTGTTCCACACAAACTTGCTACATGCCTTGCTCTTGCTCAAAAATGGCTTTACTTTTTGTTGCCTCACTTTCTCACAGTTAAGACAAACGGAATCATTCCCTTCACCTGTATTTATACAAGTATCACTTTTCAGCTCTTGTTTCCTAGTAGAATCAGTTGCTTGCTCAGGTTTCTTAGGTGATGACTGAACTGCTTTTGAAGATGACATAACAAAATGATCAGCAGAAATATCTTGTTTAAAAAAATTACCACCTTTTGTTTCACTCCTTTGATCACATGTACGGGATAACATAGTATCTGAAGTTCCATCCGATATTTCAAAATTTCCACTTTGCTCAGTGATCCCATCATCACTTTGAGTTTGCACATCACTAGCACCAGCATCACTGCCTAGTTCACCAATTTCTTTACTACTACCCAGAGCTTGATCATGTGTTCCATTTTCATTGGTATTCTGCACATCAGATTTATCTTTTGTGCCCTCTAACACACCCGACAAAGCAGATGTATCTGTGGCTGTTTCTTTGTCTAAGTGAGTGCATGGTCCCCAAGCCTTCCATGAATGTGTAGCACCAGTGAAAGCTGGGGGATTAATGATGGGAGCCATTTGACGCTGGAGGTTATGAGTCAAATCATAGCTGTAGCTAAAGGAGAAAAAAAGAGCAAAAGTTGGACACAATTGACTACTCAATAAAATAATATAATGCATAGGAAAAGATCAAAGATAACCTAAGATCAGATTGCTAATCTGTGCAAAGTATAGTTGAGGGTCCTGTATGTAGATCCTTTTAAGAAAAACAATGTTTTAACAAAAAATGGCTGCTTAGAAGAATGCTAAATTTATTTGTTGGGTTCATATTTTCCATGATTTTAAAGTTTTTTTTCTAGGTTAACATTCTTTGTTAAGTTGCATAATATGATAATAAAAACATGACAGAGATCACATAACAATCAAACTGTTTAGTAATATTTAAATCAGGAAAAAAAAAAATGAATCCCAGCACATAATTTACTCTGTAGATTCAAAACTGCTTTTAACTGTATTCATGTTACAATGAAATACATACAAGACGTAATGCTAAACAGCGGTCACTCTTGTTCTTGATTACTAATAAGCAAAAGACAAACTTACGAAGACTGAGTGCTGTACACACCTAAAATAAAAGTTACTCGACAGATCAACATTCTGAAAGATCTTGACATATCTATAGCAAAAGAAGTTCAATAAGAATTGAGAATGTACTCATAAAGGAATACTTTCAAGAATTACTCAAATCATAATGGAGCCACTGGTAACAACATTTACTTGCTCTCATCAGGGTGCTTGAACCTCTGTCTGACAAGTTCATTAGCAATTGGAATCAACTTTGTATCTCCAATTTTATAGATACTGTGTCCTCCAATCTCAGCCTGCCTGTAAAAAAAAATTCAATATACTTTTGAAAAGTTATATTATTAAATAAAAAACAAAAATTTATTGGGTTGTGCCAGAATTCAATAAATCAATAACAACACACACATTTTTACTTTACCTAAATTTTTTATGAACAAATTGTCAGTAGAACTTAAGCCTTTAAACCCCGGAGAGTGACCAACATCTAACTCTCTTTCTTTTTTAAGATCATGAAAATAAAGATAATGATCCCCCTCAGAAGTTTTGATTGTTAAACAAATTCTCCTTGACATTACTAAGGGGAATGCATATAAAAGAGTATGGAGAATATGATTATTGATGTAAAGGTGTAAAGGGTTTAACAGGTTGTTAACTTACTTTCTTCTCTCTGTGATCAATATGATGTAATACCCTTCCAGAAATCTCACAAATCCTGCAAAGAATGTACAATTCACATAAGTTTCACAAGAAAGACTGAACTGTAGGGAGCATTTTAAAGTTTAGAAGGTGAAGTCTGCTCACAAACCTAATGACCCAAACAGTCCTTGAGCTGGAGCTAATATAATATCAGTCCTGTCCTTTTTTCCTAACAGTTAAAACTTTTTCACACTCCTAGCATGAGATTTAAATAGGTTACCCAAGAACGCTGCACAAGGACTAATTTATTTTGACCAAGACAGTCTCAACTAAGAACAGAGTTATTCAAGACAAAAATCATTAATTTTTCTGAGACTCTCTGTCATGCCTGGTGTGATAATTCTCATCTGTTACATTGGGTCTTTCACTCCCTGGATTAAGCAAGAAGAAAATTCTCCCAATATTGTAAATAAAAGAAGAAAGGTCAAGAAGAGAGGTTATGACAAGAAGGAAAAGTATTAAATGGGAGTTCTTGTTTGATCTAACAACAAATTCTCACAGCTTAAAGTGGGAGAAATGTTTGACAGATAGAGGGGAGAATTCATAGCGATATCTTGAGGGTCAAAAAGTAAAGAGGGTGAAAGAGTAAAGAGGAAAATAAGCCAAACTTGCAAGATCAGAACTCACCCACAATACCGTAAGCAGATATACTCCTGTGTAAACCTTTACTTGTACTCTCATATGGTTTGTTTTTATTTGGCAAATTTCCAGCATTAATCATGGACAACAAATCCTTGATCTGTCTTTGATTGTACTCAACCTAACATAAAGAATAAAAATAGGCCGTGCCCTCTTCAATTTCTTCAAATCCTGACCCTATTTAAGACTGGTAAATACTTTCAGCTTCAAAATTTTAATAGGAAACCAACCATAAATATTGCTGCAAATCCACCTCATAGAGCCATGTGCTGTTCAGAAAGCATTTTTAAATTGGAATTAAAAAATTGTCACTACTACACATGTAGACCATACACTGCAGAGGCAGTGCCAAGGGTCAAACTATCAACATCATAATCACCGCCCACACGTGTGAACCTGCACTACAGTGGCAGTGTTAAGTTTCCAACTATCAACATAGAAATCACTTCATTTCATGCATTTAATATTGATCAGTTCTTAATGATGATCCGCCTCCCGGTTAGCTCAATTGGTTAGAGCGCTGGACTGTTGTGCAGGAGGTCGAGGTCGATGGTTCGAGCCCCGGCCGGACCAACACTCAAGGTCTTAAAATAATTGAGGAGAATGCGCTACCTTTCTTTAATGTCAAGAAATGGGTAGAGATTCTAGTCTTCTTCTCGGATAAGGACGAATAAACCGTAGGTCCCGTCTCCTGCATCTATTAATTAGTTAATTTGGTTAGGCAGGGGACGTTAAAGAACCCACTCACGAGATTACTGTGATGTGGTCTGGCCTGTTTACTGGGAGTTGGGGGGGAGGGGGCATCTTCAAATAAGTTTCCTTCGATTGTTTGTAAACTGCTGATGCAGTCTACCCAAAGTCCCCCGAAAAGTGTTGTGATGCGCATTTGATCATATCCACATGTTAATTTGTGCAATATAAATATTAAATTATTATTATTATTATTAGAGGACAGATGCACAGATGATGTCATCCTAAACCCTTTCACTCCCTGGATCTTATTAGCAATTCTCATCACTTTATACCATGTGATTGTTATGATGTTAGTTTGGAGAATTCAGTATTTGATTAACCAACAATCTCCCAATTGGTATTTTTCTTTAAACTTGTGACTTGTCTGCTTGATATTGTATAGATATTGTAAGGAGAAATTATGTCTTGGTCACTCATGGGAGTTACACAACATTTTATCCTTTTACCATACAAAACATATAGATTCTATCTTCTTGTGGGTGTGTACAGTAACAGATCAGAGATGACATCAAGTGTGGTAGGAACGTCTCATGGGTCACTTTTTTTATCTTACCACATTTTGATGTAATCAGTAATCCGTTTCTGTCAAGTAGACATATAAGGAAAGTTAATACTTAGATCATAGCAGTGACCGGGTTAGGGAGAAAAAGTACTTTGATCGCTCATATCGTCACAACTCAGTGGACCTAGGAGAGTCGTTTGGAGGATGACGTTCACTAAAGGCTGATTAGAATAAACTACTTTTTAAAACTAAACTGTATTAAGGCAAACCTTATCGTCGAAAAAAACCAGTTCGTACGGTTCAGTTCTATCAATTTTCAAAACACGAAAGCGAGTTTCTGCATTATTCGAGCCAACGAGAAAAAACCTCTGCAGGAAAGAAGGAAAAAGTTGTCATTTAATGCACTAAAAATGATTAAAAAACACTCTTCTCTTTTCTAGAGTATGGTACTTACCGCTTTAGTCTCGTAAAGTACAACTCGCTGAGTGCAGCAAATTGAGTAGTGGTCCGCCATCTTGATAACTTGACGAATGTTATTATGGGATCCCAGGTCTCTCACGGGTTCCACGCCAAACATGTTTATCCCGTTTAATTTCGTTTTCTTCCCCCAGTTAACGTTAGCTAGAGCACAGTTTTCGCTACAGACTAGGACACCATCAATTAGAATTTTTATACCCCATACTCATCTGGTTTGTAAGGGTGAATAATGAGTAAGTGGATGGTGACACTGTTCAGAAGGTTGAAATTGCAATCCTTGGTATTCTTGGCAGGCCTTGGTTCTCCAAATCCTAACCTAATTTCAAGACACAACATGCCATTCTCCACATCCATTTTCAGATTTGGCCTCTAAAATTTTTACACATTGTAGATCAAAATAGTTCAGAGGTTATAAAAGTAGATTTTACATAATAAGCTCAATCATACATGCATTTTGGTTAGTTTTTACTCAGGATCTCTTGAGAACAGAAACAAAGATGAAGTCACTGTAGCATATTGAGAATGTGGTATAAGTACTTGTACTGATGTTAGTAATATTACTGTAGGACTACTGAATGATGTGAAAGTACTGTAATCATGAAACATTATTGTACCAGGTTACTAGATACTTGATTGATGAATAAAGATAATATAGAAAGCAATTGAAGAGTGATTGTCGCTACTAAAAGAATACACATCAGTCACCTTTAACAATTTGATTCTTTATCATATAGAACAAATAGATACCATGTTGTTGTGCATCTGTTTGGTAATAGAAGGCACAAGACAACAGAATGTTGTAAGAATGTAGTCGACACACCTGGCTGCACCTTGTACACCAGCTTTTACAACTCACCTCAATTTAATGTTATCTGTGATCTACATTACACTTTTTAAAACAGCATTAAACTTGAGCCTCATCCACAAATTAACAAGATAATCAATTTTAATCACAGTTGTTCATAATAATTACCATTACTTTGTAAAAAGTTCACTCTACACTAAGAACCACTCACAAGATTACAAAAAGAAAAAGACTCTAAACAAAAACGCAAGATTTCCCAGAGATAAAATCAACACCAGTCCTAATTTCACCAAAAGCATTTACTGCATGCACGAGGAGCTGCTTTTGATTCCATGAATTTATTACACCATCTTCAAAGAGCTGGTCCTGGTTATTTGAAGATTGGATAATGCTATACACTTGACAAATCTTTATCCATTGGATAGCACAGCGCATTTTGTTCTTACTTATCTGCTGAATAGTAATTCATCCATTGGGTAGCATTATCTGCCCTTTGTACAACTGGGCCCAGGAGGAGCAGCAAGTGTTCTATGTCGAAACAGGGTGGTTTACACCTCTACTATTCGCAATCAATGGTGGGATGGGATCAGAACATAGCTCTCCTTTGAGATACTGTATTTATATTGGTACACACATGTGTAATGGGCTAAGGACACCTTTTTACAAGATTTAGGACTTTATCAATGACTGCCAAGCACTTCCCACTTCAAACTTCCGAACACTTTGCCATGTGATAAATCCTGTCAGAAGGCTCTCAGATAATTGTGTTTGATTTCATGCCAGGTACAATTTGTTTCTTGGCTTCTGTCAGAGACGTGTATCTTGACCTGCTTATGTTGACGATGACTCTGCACAATTTTGCGAAACATAATTACTTTTCTGGAGGGGGTTGCTTTTCTCTGTCAGTGCCAAGGACATCTGTTTCAATATCTGAAAGATCTATATTTTTCTCCTTGATGGCATTCTATGAGAAAAAATACAAAGATCAATGTCAACAGACATGGATCACACAAGCCTTAAGTCTCTGGAAAAATTACTTGAGAAGAACTATTGTTACCATTAGCATTGAATGGTGTTGAGCTAACAGAGCCTTAGTTTAGCAAGTGATAAAAATTATCTTTGTTATAGAAGTAGAGGAGTACATTCCCATGTTATAGCTGTGACAGGGACTCGACCCACCCCCAGACCTCTCAACCTCAAAACACAAAAAATCTGGAGACGGATGAAGAACGTAACAGCTTGGTTTGTTATGGAGTTGCACAGAATGGCAGATATTAGATCTGAGCCTGAGTAAAAGCGGTATCGTTTAAAGATGCCCGGAATCGAGGCACTTGGGCCAAAGGCTTTGTAAATTCTCAAAGGTAACACTGTATATTTAAAAACAACTCGCATTTTACGCTATTTTTTTACTTTTATCGAGAATCTGAAGCATTCAAAAGGCAAAGATAGCAATGGTTAGACATTGTATTGCATTCAGATGCAACAACCGGAGTGATAAACCACACTGCAACATCTTGGCCAGAAAGTCATCATCAATCGAGCGTCTTTCCTTCGGAGCCTTTCTTTTGGTTTTCTGCTCGGAGAAACTGAATATTGTCAGAACTTATTTTCCGGACAGCATATGACTTGGAAAAGTCTTCCTTTTCAAATTGTTCACTGCATAAAAGAAATTTTTACTTATGGGTGTGTTTTCCTGTTTAACCTAGACTTGCCAAGTCGCCAAAAGTTTCTTGTTGCTCAGTGGCAGTGAATGCCACGAAAGTTGCTTGCAATGTGGTTTATCGCTCTGGTTGTTGCATCCAAATGCAATACAATGTCTAACCATTGCTATCTTTGCCTTTTGAATGCTTCAGATTGTCAATAAAAGTAAAAAAATTGCGTAAAATACGAGTTGTTTCAAAATATACAATGATACCTTTGAGAATTTACAAAGCCTTTGGCCCAAGTGCCTCGATTCCATGCATCTTCAGACAAAACCGCTTTTACGCGGGCTCAGATCTAATATTTGCCATTGGGACAAAAAAACTCACCTCTAGCAAGCCAAAAATGAAATTATACAAAAAATTTATCCTTTCAGCTTGCGCCTCTAATTATCGTGAGATTTGTCTGTCTCGTCGTGAGACCGTGAGATTGAACTGAAAATCATGAGTCTCACGACAAAATCGTGAGACTTGAGAGGTCTGCACCCCTCTCCCACACCTCCACTGCCCCTCCGTGCATGAACTCTTGGAATTCAAAGATAACTCTTCTACCCTGATCAGGACAAAAGTAATTTCCTCTCCAGGAAAAAATATTCAGTATCTAATTGAACCGCGGAGCTTACCAAAACACATGCTCTGTAGTTCTTCAGCAGCTCCCTACAAGGATCACTTTTATAGTCCCCTTTGAGGAAGCTCTCCGAATACCACACATTGAAGCAAGAATCGTATTCTTTCTTCAAGTCATTACACTCAGATCCAACGCTGTTCATTCCTTATAGAATGTATGGAAGAATTAATTGCAAGAATCCACGAAAATAAACCGTAACATGAGGGTGGGAGAATCTGCGATCATTTTGCGGACTCACATACTAACATATGCTTACGCCTTAGTTCTTATGACTGTCCGCTGCTCATAACGATCGAAATGTTATAAAATGGCGGGCAGTTCAACACGAGAGGTGATAACTCTTCAATTCGGTCATTACTCCAACTATGTCGGTACTCACTGGTGGAATATTCAAGAATCTAGCTTTTGCTATGACCCTAGTACTTCAGTTCAACAAGAAATCAACCACGATGTGTCATTCAGGGAGGGTTTAACTTTGCACGGCGACCAAACATACACTCCAAGGTTGTTAGTGTTCGATTTGAAAGGTAGTCTGAAAAATCTACCGAAATATGGAACTTTGTATCAGACTCCATCTTACACCCACGAAGCCTCATGGGCAGGAGCAGTTTCTGTGCACGAATCAGAACCAGAACCTAAAAATGAATTTCAAATGGACTTGGAGACTGAAGACGATCGCGAAACAGAAGTTACTGTTGACAATAGAACGCTTGATCAGGATTCTGTCAATAAAAACCCACGAGAAAAGTATTATGACCTAGATAAAGATGTCTCCGTGTGGTCAGATTTCTTAGGAACCTGCTTACACCCCAAATCAATTCAGCTAGTGCGGGATTACCTACATGGTGTGAGTTCTAGTCCCTTCGATGTGTTTGGATACGGACAATCTGTAGCAAAAAATGAACACTTTTATGAGGAGTTTGAAAATAATCTTCATTTCTTTGTTGAGGAATGTGACAGTCTACAGGGATTCCAGGTTAGAATTATACCAGTTGGAAAATGAATTTACAGAGAGGTGACTCTAGGCTATTTAATCCAGGCCTACTTCACCTTAACCTCGGTCCTTGCTTCTCTGTAAGGAACTGAATTAACAGTGAAAGACCAGTCCACTGTTTCTTTTCCCTCCCCAGTCCCCTGATATTTCTTGCTTTTTTTAATTCCGTCCCTCTGCACCCCTTCCCCTCTCCCTCAACCGATGATCCAGCATATTTGCACTAAGGAGTCTGGTACTAGGCTAGCCTTTGGTGTGCTAAACTATAATCTGTTATTAGTTCAGAAAACCTGTGCTACATGCTCTACCAATCAGATGTAAAACTGACATAGCTCAGCCTTTCATGCTTTCCTGTGCTTGAGGCCATAAAGGTGTAGGTACTTTGTGTTTTCTTGGACTGCATGTTATATTTTTTCCTACATTCTGATTGACCGGAGTGAAAACTATGGTGTTAGTTTTGCATTGCATAATAGAAATTTGCCCTGGCTAACATTGCATTCCATTTAAGGGTGACTCATCCCTTAACATAGCAGTACTAGTGGCCACTTTAATGGACAATTCCTTCAAGTGGCCAGCTTCAGTTATGGACGCTTCTCCTAGTTCTCTTTGATCTCTGCTCACTTAGTCTCAGTATTTTATTACACGACTCAGGAAGTCAGAGGGCCAATAACTAAAATCAACCAATCAAAATGCTCTTTTGCACGTCAATATTCTCTAAGTATTGGACCGGGCACTGTCCCGAATGGTCCCGAATGATACCGCACTTGTGTCCCTTTGAACTTCAGTCGTGTAATAAATCTCTTAATAACCAAGCTTGCTCGGGACCGTACTGGAAGAATATGGGCCCTCGGTCTTTTTTGTACGGACCTCGCTGCGCTTGGTCCGTACTGTCAAGACCTCAGGCCAATATTCTCCCAGTATGGCCCTCGCGCTTGGTTAATAAGATATATATATTTTGTGTCCACAGATATTTGCTGATGTATATAATGGTTTTGGTGGCATAAGCAGCCAGCTGCTTGAAGACCTGAGAGATGAGTATGGGACTAAGTCATTTCTTTCATTTGGAGTTATGCCAGCTGAATTTACAGATGAAAGTCATAAAGATGCTGCCCATAGAATCCTGAATTCAGCTTTGAGTTTTGGTCAGTTGGCACAAAACAGTGATCTATTTATACCCATGTCACTTATGCAAGAGATGTGGCCACACTCAGGACAAGCCAGAGATTTTCCTCATTTAGATTACAAGGTAATTTAGTTTCCTTTTCTTAGCATTATAGAGCCAATTATCATTTCAAGAGCAATTGTTTGCTAAGGTATTTCTTAATTTTTTTTTTTTTGTTCCTAGCCTGCTTTGTCATACCACACCAGTGCAGTGTTGGGAGTGTGTGTGGACACAATCACCATGCCTTACCGTCTCCTCACTCCCAAGGCAGTTAACATGAACAGCTTTGTAAACAGTGTGGGATTCGGGGAGAGAAAGATTGCCAGCCTCTCATCAACGTTCCCTCTGCCCGTAGAAGATACTGTTCCCCTAACATCCCTTCTGGGCTCTCGACTGAATGGAAATGGAACAGAACTTTTACAGTCAATAACTCCTGGCATTGCACATTCTTCCTCGCTTATATCTCAGTCTGCAGTGATAAGGGGCATCCCTGCTTCTCTTACCCATACACCTCAGCGAAACATCCAGTCCCAGAATTCTGTGTTGCACGAGAACCCATTTGAAGTTTGCTCAACTGCTAATGAAATAGTTCAAACATTTTTGCAAACTTTACATCCTCAGACTCAACCTGTGTGTTGGAATGTCAGTCAAGCTTGTATGGTCAAGCCTCCTTTTCCAAATATTTTTGGCTCTAGAGTAACTCATGACGGACTTGTTGTTGATGGATATGCAAGGCCAGAGAGTGTACGAGTGAATCAGACTAGTGTTCTTAGTCGCCTCGAGACAAATTCTGGAATCGCCAGTATGCTTCTATCGTTGATTCAGTGGGCAAAAAGAGTAAATATCAGCAAACATCATCTGTTTTTGGAATCAGGTACTGAAGAAGAAACATTTAAAGAAATGCTTGAAGAACTGACTAGTTTGTCTCAACGTTACGTAACCCGTGATACTGTAAAATGGAGTGAAATTTAAAGAACACTTTCACGTCGTTGTATTAACCCACGAAAATTTCGCCTTAAAATCCTAAGACAATCTTTCCCTTTCTGGGTGAAATACAAAATTAAAAGAAAACCGTCATAATGAGTGCTAGAATTAATATATCTTTAAATTGAAAAAAGTGCTGAAATTTATATATGTTAAGAGTAATAAAAAAGAGTTTTCGTTGCCTACTTATGTTGTAATGTGGTACAACCAAAATCGATAGATTCGATGGCTAAAAATTTCTCCTTACAAACAGTTCATATTTCCCACCAAAGTTGATAAGGCCATCAGCTATTGGTAGTCATGATTTTTGCATGTAGTACTAAGTGTGTTTCGGTAGTTTTAATTTAAAAGAGGCGGCTTACCAAGTTGGCGCAAAAACTTACTGGTCGGCTTTGATGTGCTCCGCCTGGGAGAACTTCGGCATCGAAAGAAAAACCTTTTTCGCTTTCTCTGTCTTCAGCAAGAGTGACAGGGAACACATGGTGGTAAACCCTGAAAATTGCTCTCCATGAAGAAACTAATTACACTTTGTATCGTTTTCCTCAAGATTAAAAAATCATTTCTGTCCGTGCGAGTCAGCTCGTGTCACAGGCAACAGAATGCAAAATGAAAAAAAAGTGACGTTTGAATCGACGGTTTGTACCTCATAAAGGCTCACGTCAAGCGCGAGAGAGGAAGTCTTTACGAAAAATCAAAATTGAAAAAATTCAAATGAAAAAGTCGATTTTTTCTTTGATAAAACGTTTTAAATTTACAAATGAAAAAGGATCTAGAGATAAAAGTGCCAAGCCTTCGTTTTTGCCTCAGTATTTAAACCTCTTGGTTTCACTTGTCATCCCATTTTGTCAGCGAGAAGCGAAAAAAGTGAAAAGGAAAATTTAACGCGGATTCAGAAAGTGAAATCCTGTCTGCTGACACAGTACTTATTTAGAGATAAACATCCACGATATGCAGGGAAATTTGCTACATACTATCCGGGAAGTGTAGACTTCAAGCAGTCTCTCCTTTAAGGCGAATTCCGTCGCGCAATTGAAAAAATAGACTGGTGAAAAATTTATGCTAGTGCGCCTTGTGATTTTTTCTTTTTGGACTCACTTGACGGACTAAAATTAAAAGGACTCTTTGTAGTCTACGACTGAAGTGTCTAGTTATCGTGTCATTTGGAAACTTTAGTCCAAAAATATGGCCAAACGTGTAATTTTTTGGGTTAGAGTTTCCAAACGTAACAGCGGTAATGACTTCAAGGTAGTTTGCCCACGTGAGTTTAGGATATTACGTTGCAAACTTACGAGGGACGTAAGAAACATGGCGTTCTAACTTTTAAACTTCGGATTCCTCCCACATCGGCTAAAGATTATTGATCAAAACACGATTAAGTACCGGCCCCATTAGCCATATATACTGACCAGTCATCTCTGCAACAGCACTCCAAAAGCTTCCATTCGGTAGTAAACAACAACTTGCTTAATGGTAAGTTCCGGTTCCCCGGTACCAATGTAAACACGAGACAATTTGGGTTTTATCAACTGAGTTGATAATGTAATTTGGTCACCGTAAAGAGTTTCAATGCTGACATTTCGAGCGTTGGCCCTTCGTCCGGAGCAATTCGACGAAGGGCTAACGCTCGAAACGTCACCTTTGAAACTCTTTTCGGTGGCCAAATTACATTATCAACTCAGTTGATAAAACCCAAATTACCTTTTTACTCGCACCGACACAGCACCACAGCTTCTTTAGAAACTTGCCCCCTTTAAAAACGAGACAGCTCATTCGCAAGAAAATGAGAAACTTACGGTAGGTATCGTGCTACTTAAGGTCAGAAGTGTTGTTCATCCACGTCTAAGATGAACAACATATGAAAAGTGAGAACGTGACGTCACAATAGTTAGTTCAAACGTCACAAAAAGCGCGAGAGATGCAATACGTGCGAGATAGATCGGTAAGGGTTTATTACGAAGGCAGAAAGGCGATGATGACATCTAAAAAGTATTACAAACTGGGTAGGCATAAAAAACAAACGGCCAAGAGTTTCCTTTCCATCCTTATAGTTATACCGCAACAACAATGTAATTCTAATTGAAAACTCCGTTATGTGCCTCTTCTAGCAACAAAATAATCCCTTTCCAAGAAAAAACTTTGAAAGTTTGATCCCGCGACAAAGAAAGCTGAGGGATTTATTTTTTATTGCAAGCTACGGCCTATCTGGTCAAAACCGCCATTCCCATCCCTCTATTATTTCGTGCTAGACCCTTACCTCATGGGAAGAGGAGAACAGACTGCAATCAGTCCCTAAAATTACGATTTTTGACCGCGAAAACATCCTCCCTTGCGATAGCAACAGTGTGTTATGCTACTAAGTTTCCAAATTTTAATTCAAATCATTTACTAACCTTCTGAAAGTTTGGCACAGCAAGACTAATATACAACGACGAGTAGTCCCTTTTTCCAAGCGTAACCTATCGCGCGGGTTGATAGAAATGGGCGAAAACATGTCCCAGCGCCAACAAAGTTGTTTGCTCATCCTTTTGACTCGCGCTACAGACCACCCGGGGAAAGAGATAGTCTCAGTCTATGGAGATACGTGATAAATTCAAATTGTATTCATTCGAAAACAGTTAAAAGGAGCGTGGTCTGTATTTGGTTGAATGCTAAATCTTGTCTTTCCTTCAACAAAATATTAAGCCCCTGTACTATCACCCATTTCAAGCGCTACCGCTCTAAAACGCAGCGTGATTAACCCTAGCACTTAGTAATCCTTTCTATTCAAGGGCACAACCTTAGAGCAACTACATTTTCAGTACTATACTTCAGTGCGTTTTACAAGGTATATCAGTTCTGAAGGGGAATGTGGAATCTTTTTTCAGGTCCTACACTAAGGTGTCACCGATATCAAAGGGAAGGTCCTACTTTGAAATATCATTACATTGTCTCGACACAGGACCGGAGAAGGGTCATCGGAGGCCCATGTATTCAGGGGCCCGTTCTCCATTGGATACCCTCTTGCACAATGGGGTGATATCGACAATACAAAAGGATTCCTCAATCATATTTTGCATGACTAACTTTACTACAGATCTGCTTACTAAATTACAAAAGTTTTTAAAAAGACTCGCAGGTTGACAATGGTTACCTCAGTTGTCCTCCTCTCAAAAGATAAAACTTCAAATAAATGCGGAAAATAAAATACCTCGAGATGATGTTCATTTGTTTGTGTCTCTTTCCACGTGGTATAGTAAAAGAAAAACGTTCAGATACAGAAATCTAAAAAAGCTATACGTTTCGTAGAATGTTTTAACACAACTAGCAAGCGTTGTTAAACTAAAACCAGGCTCTACTCTTTCGAATTTCATGCACAGCACAAACCTTGCAGGTTTTTCATTGGAGTCATGGGGTGTAACAGCCCTTAAGCTGAACAGGATATTGCTTTGGGCAAAAACGATTAGCAAGTTGGGAAGATTTTTTCCGCTTAATAATTGTACATGGAGTAATGAGGAGAACAAAACTCTGAAGGCATATCGACTATCTTAAACCAGCACACACTCTACCACTTACAGTGTTCATGTTTGGGAAAAAAAAAATAGAATGTAATCAAGTTCTTTTGGTGGAGGAAGTGATCTTAAAAAAAAAAAGAACAACGACGAATACTGTGTACGATAACTAAGCTATTTCAGGAGAAATGTCATTATATTAAACGCTGGGGTAATGGCACACTGTTTCTCTCTAAGCTTGTCAGTCGGTTTCTACTTTTGAATTTATGCGTTTTGGTAAAGTTTCTGCGAATCAATCGTCGTCATTTTCTTCCTTTCCCTCTGGTGATTTGGCGTGTCTCTGCATGGACTGAAGAGCCTTCTCTCTTAGCTTCCTCTCCAAAGTTTCTGTGTCATCTTCGTCCATGCTCTCCGAGTGCTGAGAAAAGGGAAGACAAATATGACATTCGATTACTACAGAACGATTAAGAGTGTTCACAGAATTGAAAGCCATTCCCTCACTGCGAAAAATGTATCTTGGGGTTAAACCGTTTGCAACCTTATAGACGACTGTCCCAGAGAAAAAAAAGCTCTGATATGGAAAACCTTCAGACAAGAACTAAACCTGGATTCGACAAATGCCCGCGTAATACATATGCGAAAGAGTTCATATAACATGGAAATGTGCGCGCAAGCTACAGTCGCGCGCTTGTTAGGAGTTAGGGAGTACTGAGTTTACTGCACAAGTCGAAGCTTTCTGGTAAAACCATTCAGAAGCAAAGAAAAGTCACGGACAAATCCCGCTTCTCAAGGTTCTAAATTGACAAGTCCCATTCTGAAAGCCACAAAAGAAATCTCCCAGTGAGTTTACCATGAGTTTACCATGAAACGTTAATTCGACCCAAAAACACGCATACAACTAATCATCAATGGACATGAGGAGGTTGAAGTCAGAGAACACTTACTAGAATCAAAAAGTGTCTGTCGCTTCAGAAAATCTGTATTTCGATGTCGTTTGCGCGTGCACGGAAACCATAAACATGTAAATATGACTCCAATTTACAAAATAGGGCGCCTTTGATGGAGTGTTATAAAACTTTCGGTATACTTTCGACACAATTGAAAACTGCTCTATAAGCACCGTGTCATTAAAATTTTTATATTAATTTTTATTATTTATTTTATTTAACATTATTTAAATCAATTAAATTTATTTGTTACTATATTTACATTAAGTCCTACCAACCCCAGGTGACTTTTCCTTTTCTTTGTGTTTCTTGTGTTTTGAACGCTTATGTTTGTGTTTCGAGCTTCCATGTTTCTTGTGCTTCTTATGTTTCTTTTTCTTTTCACCTTTCGGTTCTTTTTCTTCTGGTTTCTCTTGTTCCTCGGCAGAGCTTTCCTGTGAAAGATTACACAAACCAAGGTTACGGTGCTCGGCCCTCTCGTACGTCACGTTTGTTCATTACATCTTTCGTTACTTATATTTGTTTATCTCAAAACAGGGATTTTATCGACACATCGATTTAGCAATTTTCAAAAAAACAACAACAACAACAACAACAACTACAAAAGCAACAAAAAACAATAGCCCACCCACATTGCTTGGGCTGCACAGAAATTAAATGTAGCGAAATCATCATTATTAAACAGGAAGCTGTATCATCGTAGCAAAACCCTTAAATATATCAGTTCCTGAATATCCCATTAAAAATTAAGCTTAACGTCTTTCGCAGTGGGTGAAAAATCCATGAAATAAGACGTTTAAATAATAGACTTCGAAAAGGCGAAGTTTCTGTCGGGTAATAAGCTAATAAGGAATGAAGATTTGTGGCCAAGAACTGAACAGGAACGAATTGATATCAAGATTAGAAAGTGCAAATCGGGTTGGATAGGGCACACCCTCAGAAAACCGAACAGCAATGTTACCAGGCATACACTGAGGTGGAACCCACAGGGGAAGAGAAAACAAGGCCGTCCTAGAAACAGCTGGAGGAGAACCGTGGACAAGGAGGCGGCCAAGGCAGGCTACACCTGGAATAAAATAGAGTAGTTGGCCCGGGATAGAAGGAGATGGCGTGAGGTTTCCTTGGATCCATGCTCCACAGGGAGTGAAAAGGGATAAGCAATAAGCTATGTTTGTGGTCATTTAGAACGATCACGATAAAACTTCGATTTCTATCTTAATTTGAGGGCTCCGTTTCGATTTGAATGTCGTAAACCCAAAACAGTTATCAGAACGAGCCTCTTAGAAAAAAATGTCTGCTCTGAAGAAACCAACTAGAACCCAAAGTAAACACACAATCGACCACAAGAGTGGATAAACGCAAGTCACCAAGTCATGATTATCTCTTCTCATTCCATTGGTCACAGTTCTACACCAATCATGGAGCTATGGAAAGGAACCAAAACATTCCTCGATTACTTTCGACACTCAATTTAAGTTCGCTACATAACTGACACCAGGGGTTTCAATAACATTAGTTATAAGCGGCCACTCAAGGTTTAATAGGCGGCTGTGACCACTAAAATCACTTTTTATTTTCACGAATGAAATCCAAACAGACGGCGGTAAGAGGTCCTACAGGCAGCGGTAGACCACCGGTAACCGGATTTTATTGAAACCCCTGTGACAACAGATTCTATGGGAGAGTATTTGTAATACCTTAGCAGGAGCAGGAGGGGATTTGCTGGGGGATTTCTTTGGTGCCTCTTCTTCCGGCACTGAAGGGCTTCTTCGGGCCTTTCTTGCAGAGGGCTCTGGAGATTTTTCCTCACTCGAGGTCCTCTTGGCTGTCGCCTTTCGTTTGACACGTTCACGAGGTGGGGAGGCCGAAGGATTCCTCTTGGTCCCGTGGGATTGTTGACGAGTTTCTGGCGAAGCAGGCGAAGATTGCTTGGCAGCGCGAGATCTGGGTTTAACTTCCCGTTCAGGAGAAGATGAAGGCGATCCCCCTAAGGCGTGTGATTTTGAAGCCTTCGCGGGTGGGGGTTGGGGCGAGGCTGAAGCAGAACGCTTTGTACGAGACTTCGTTTTGTGACCAGGCGAAGCAGAGGCAACTTGGGTGGATCTCCGACCTTTGGGCCTTAAAACAAAATAAAATGATGAGTATCCTTAGGAAGCCAGTGTTTTCATTTTTCACCCAGTTTCAAAAGCGAGAGCACAAAAACAAAAACGCTATTATTAAAGAAATAATTACAATTTTTCTACCAATTTCTTTACACAGTAATGTACACAAAATACACTTTCTGAACCTCAAACAATGAAGCAAGAAAAAAAAGAGGACAATCTCAGCAAGAGTTTGGTCAACCACTAGTTACCTAGCACAAAATTACGGTCTGAACATCTTACCTAGCAGGTGACATGGACGACGACCTTCGTTCGCCTCGTTTCCTATCACGCGAATTCTCCCGAGGAGAAGCCGACCGATTCCGATCCCGAGCATCCCCACGAGGCGAGTCCGACCGTGATCGTTTCTTCCCCTCTCCTTTTCCTCGAGTTGCGTCTCTTGGAGATTTGACAGGAGACTCCCGAGTCTCACGAGTCTTTTTCTTGGCAGATGACGGCTCAGGGGAAGCGGACGAAGACGATGATCGTTTATCTTGACGTGCTTTTGACTTCTTTGCTGAATCAGGTTCGGCCTGTGGCTTTTGAGGCGGTTCTGGTGAGCCTGAAGAAGATCGAGACCTCTCCGAGCGCTTTCTTCGCCGAACAGCTCCTTTCTCTGGTTCTGGAGAGCGGCGACGTTCTTTTTTATCTTTTTCGTCGGCGCGACGACGACTCGATGGTTGGGGCGACTCTGACCGACGAGTAACAGGAGGTGACGAACTTGACCGAGGGCGTCTTCGTGGTGGTGGGGACGACATCCTTTCCTTTCTACGTTCTCTACTTCGTGGCGGCGATGGCTCAGGCCGTCGTCGCCTTTCTCTAGGAGATGGTGATCGCGAATATTCTGCTTTTCTCCTTCTTCGAGGAGAAGAAGAGAGTCTTTCTTGGCGCCGTCTCCGGGGAGGAGAAGGCGAACGGGAAAACTCTCTTTTTTTTCGTCTGGGTGGGGAGGGTGAGCGTGAATCATCTCTCCTCCTTCTTCTAAAGGAAGGTGACTCATCCCTAGGCTTTCGTCTCCGATCCCTTGGTGACTCACTCCGTTCTCGTTCCTTCCTCCGGTCTTTAGAAGAGTCAGCTTTCTTCTTCCTCTCTGGTGACCACTCCCCCTCAGATGAGGATGGTGACGGTGAGTGTTTGCGGTAGCGGCGGCTTGTCATTTTCTTGGATTTTGGTAAAGGTGGTGACTTCTCTTTCTCTTCCGTGGCTTCTTTCTCTTGTTTGATCTGAGGGGGTGGTGGTGAGGCAGATGATGAAGAGGACGGGGAGGGCTGTTTGACAGGTGATTGTAGTTGTTCCTGCTTTTTGTGGGATGATCGGTGATGCGTCGGTGGAGGGCTGGGAGTACCCTTTGATTTGGCTTTTGCTGGACTAGCCGACTTCTCCTTTGAATTACCTTTATCGTCTTCTTTCTCTTCTTCTTTTTCCTTCTCGATCTCCTTTTCCTTTTCTTTACCCTTTTCTTTTTTCTCTGTTCGTGTTGTGTCGGCTCGAGGTGATCCAGAGCGTGAGCGTGACGATCGTGAGCTGAAACTTCCAGAACGTGACCGTGATGACGCTGACGCAGAGCGTGATCGGCGGCGAGGGGATGGGGATCGGCGAGGCTTCCTACGCGGTGAACGTGAGCGAGACCTGGAAACAATAATGCTTGGCTGGTTATAAAATTACCTCCTCGGGAGTCCCCCCTGGACGTTTCAGGACGCGAGCCAGAATTACTGAGTTCAGGATTTTAAGAGTGCGACGGGACTTCGTAAAAAAAAAAAAAAGACCAAACAACGACAAAAATAACCCAGTTGTTACAAAGACTCACTGCACTGCAAGACTCTACCTTGTGAACCATATTCAGTTCTCTTGATTCGCGTTAAATTACAAGCTGAAATAATCTCACCCAAGAGCCTCAAGTTCTCTACTGATACAAAACCACTATCTTTGAGGAAATATAAGTTAATTCCACGGTACAAAGCGCTTTCCTGTCGATTGACAACGACAAAAGAAAACTGAAATAAAACGTCAAAGCCAAACTTGGTAAAGATAAATACAAAGGAACCAATAAGAGCACGAGGTAAATCTCAACAGCTTCAAGTGTTTGAGATGCAGCAAGTTTTGCTTGTGCATTTAATTGGATGAGAGGCTTGCACGAATTCTCTAGACCAATCAAATGGCGCAGTAAGGAAATTGTTCTAAAATCGGTCAAAAATCGAACTTAACTAGCATGTACCTTCTGCGAGGCGGTGAACTTCCCCGTCTGGGTGGCGACCACCTCCTTGGAGAAGGTGTTCTACGGCGTCTGCGTGGCGACCATCGACCTCTGTTGTACGAAGAAACACGACGGGGCGAGCGAGAACGAGACCTTCTCCGCCTTTCCCGACTGCGTGATCGGGATCTTGAGTATGACCGGGAACGTGACCGAGAAGCTGAGGACCTGGACCGACTACGCTTACGTCCTTTCTTGTCTCCAGACCGTGTTTTGTCTCTTCTGTCTCTTGAGCGAGAACGTGAACGTGATCGAGAGCGTGATCCAGAACGTGACCGCGAACGTGAACTGGAGTTTCCCCTTCTGAAAATTTCATAGACACCAGACATCAAAGGTAATGAAATTAGAAATCGATAACCCTTGTTCACCTTATCTATTATCCCTCATCGCTTCTTGTTTCTTTTCTTCTCGAGTCACTTTTAACTTTTGAATGAACTCATACCTTGAGAAACTATTCTTCCCGAGTATCTTTTTCTCTTAACCCTTTACACCCTAACATCAGTATGCATATTCTCCATACTGTTCTGTATACATTCCCTAAGGTGCTAAAGAGGAGAATTTGTTCAACAATCAAGACCTTCCTTAGTTGATGATCATTTCCTATATTCTCCTGACCTTAATGTGTGATTCAGGGGTGATATTGTAAGGAGAAATTAGATGCTGGTCACTCATAGGGTCATAGGGTCATAGGGTCAAAGGGTTAATCTTTCTTCTTCCCTGAGACGTCAATTTGCCGCGAAATTTCATTTCAATTATTCACGACCATCGCGACAACGTTTTGTCGTAAATATAACCCAATAGGAAGAACAATGTATACAAGTTGACCAATATGAGAATACTTGAATTATACGAATTAATAACACTTTGTCGGCATGTTATACAACTTACTTAACATCTTTATTTTCCGCAGCCTCTGCAGGAAAAAAACACAGAAGATTATGTTAAGTTTTAAGAAATTGTAAAGAAAAACAAATCAAGCCAACATCTCCTTTGGGGGGACATTTGTGTTCTGAAGAAACAATTTATCCAAAATCATAACTTTTTTAATAATCAGTATGTTTACTATTACAATTATAATCATCATCATCTTCATTTGAAAGTCAGTGACTCTGGTTCCAAAAATTTGCGCACATGTTACTCAAAGGGGCTTGTCTAAAGGGAGAGAAGCAAAGATGGGAAAAGAAAGTTTTGAGGATTTTCATCCTGTCTGATGAGGAGTATTCAGGCAGACGACACTTCTTTTAGGCCTGCTTCACTTGCAGAGCGACAATTTCTTTATCTAAGACTGTTCAGAGCAAAATGTTTAATTTGTACTGCAACAAGTATAGAACGTAGTTTAAGAAACTCTGCAAGGTTATTAGAAGCCAGTAGGTGGCAGAAACCTGCCAGCTCAAACTATTTTTGCACTGGCTACTTAGTGAATTGTGATCAAAAATAGAAAACATCTATTTTTGAACTGATTCTAATGCCAATTTATGGCTAAAAAAGTTCCTCACATACGTCTCAGGATGCTGCGAATCACTTCGCAGAAAGTTTCAAATTTAAAATATTCTGGGGGAACATGCCCCCAAATCCCCCCCCCC